ACCCAAAAAGTAAACGTAGTATTTGTAATACAAAAAAACAACAAAAACAGAAAGGGGCTTCTTGTCCAATATTTTCAAACAAAATTTTCTATAAGGATTCGTCTGTAAACATTAGTTTTGGATCACTGATAACCACATGTTCAATCGATTTTATTGTCGCAGTCTAAGAATCAACCACGCAATCTAAAATTATTAGGGAAATTGCTCACTTTTCTCGAGGTAAGAATGCGTGACGCACACATAGATAATGGCACATTTGGGAAATTTCGTAGTCGCGGGAGAGTGCAATTTTAAAGTACGCAAAAATACAGTTTAACAAAAATATTTTTTATAGGAGTTACATTACACATGTGTTGTAGCAAGAGATCTTTGAAAGTAACATAATGATTGGAGAACATCATAATTCTTAACATGAACAAGAACCTTTAAGGAGTTTCACACCGTTTATGGGGTAGAATATATATGCTGCGTCATATTCCTTCCCAATTTAACGATTAACTTTCAGGTTAATGTAAATTTATAATAACTATTAATCGTGGTTATAATAAACAAATCTATATCATAACACTGTAAACCTATATCAGCATTTGAGGAATCATTAAATTGTATATCCGTCAAGGAAACAACTCACCTTAGGGATATCCATTCTACCATTCAAAACGTCGACACATACACATAACAGATAAAAACACTAGAACCGAAAAGGGTGAAGGGTCGAGCGTCGCTGAATATGGCCCCTTGGGTCCCGACTCTAAGCCCCTATTTACACGGAATTCTGAGGTGAATAGTGGCCTTCCCCCTTATTACAAGAATACAAGAGAAACCTCACATAAATCTCACCAGGATTAGGATAATCAAACAAACGGGAAATGTTCTAAACTTACACTGATTCCATCGGTGGGCAATATAATCGGACTCCTTGAATTTCTATTCAACTTTGGCTCCGGTATATGAACTGTATAAGCAGACTGACTATAGAATGATGTGAACATGCATAGACGCACACGTACATATACAGTATCAACACACACATACTTGTGTGTGTGTAAACATATATGTCTATGTGTGTGTCTGTGAAGGGATGGTAATTGCATTAGTTTTAGTTCCTATTAGCCATTTCTCCTTTTCCTCTTTTTACCTTTTTATGTCCTGACAGGTGAAATAAGGCTCTCGCTAACGTAACAGTCTTTATTGGTCAAATACATTTAACGGAAGTAGTAAAACAATAATGTTTGTATATCCTTAAATACTCCTATTTAGATGGAGCACCATATAATTGTGAGGGAGAACCCTGGCTCGATCCCTGACCGTATCCCCGATTCCCTCCTGAAGGATACTGTGCCTCTCCCTCGAAGGTGACGGTGGGATGGTAACCGGTGGCGTCCACGTAATACTCGACCAGAAGACGGCGACCATCGGGCAGCTGGACGTAGTAACTGTTGAATATGTTTTCGTTAGATTTTGGTTTACTAGTAACAATTATGGTGGTATATATATAACAATAATAATAAGAGTAATTTGTAAAATAAAAGGATTTTTACACTAACCTTCCCTGAGTATTGGCGTCTTCCCTCTGCTCTTTGTGGCCGTAAAAGTTCCCTGAAGGTTCATGGTTCACATCCCACTGGAAGGAATACTGGGCGGGCACGGAAGGGTACTGTGACTGTCCTGCTCCGGTAGGGAACTGAGATCCCTGACCACCTGGTGCCTGGTAGTTGTAGCCTTCCTGAGGAATCGCCGAAGCCACAGCCACCAACAGGGCAAACACAGCGAACACCTGTTGTGATATTCAGTAGGTAAAACATGATCAAGAAAACGACTGATTGTGTTAACAGTTTCACTCTTTGACTTTGTTCCTAACCTTCATTTCTGCTCGTGTCGAGAAAGCGATGACAACTGGCAGCTGGACGAGGAATCTCGCTTTTATATGATGCTCAAATGAGAGACAGAGTGATTGTCTTACTTTTCCTTCTGAGTTTATTTTTTCCCACATTTACTCGTCTTTGCCGTCTGCATATGCTTTTAAAATTCCTTTAAATAAAGAACAAGTGCCAGATTAGAAGATAAATGACTAAGCCTGTCGACATTACATATGATTAGTATCCCCTTAAAAGCGATTAGATATCACAGAAAACCTTTCACAAACTAACCGATATGTAACTTGTGAACTTTGCTTCTACAATATGCGCATCAGTAGTCAATTACTCTCATTTTGACGTATAATTCATTCACATTAAAATGCGCTAGATGGATATATCATATATAAATATATATATATATATATATATATATATATATATATATATATATATATATATATATATACACACACACACACACACACACACACACACACACACACACACACACACACATACATTCACTAGGTGGATATTCTTTACATTGATCTATACGTGAAATTATTTTAAAAATTATCCAATTGCTCTAATACAAGAAACTACATTTTTACCCATTCCCTTTTCTTCACATCGTTTGTTTCTTTGTAAATCAGGACAACAAAACCACTCATCCCATTTGGCCAAAGAAGGAGTTAAATTCATTAAATACGAAGAGACTCTTAAACCTACGTTGAAATCAAGGAAGCCTTTCGAGGAGAGTTGTTAATCCACATTAATTTCCCCTCAAAAAGTAAAAGAAGACGAAAAAAGAAAAATGAAATGAAAAGAAAAAGAAACAAAACGAAAAGAAGAAATGAGAAAAAAAAAGAACAGGCTTTTCTTTTGTATGTTACAGAGAAGATAATTTTATGATAAATGAAAATAGTAATGATGACAATAGTAACCATCGATATAGTTTATAAAAATATTATAGTAAAGGTAATAATAATAGTAATAATTACTGTTATCATTGATATTATCATCATGATCATATTATGATCATTATATAATATGATAATAATAGTAATAATTACTGTTATCCTTGTTATTATTATTATGATTATGATATGGATAAAAATAACGAAAATGATTACAGTGATATTTTTGTTAAAATTAATGGTTGTTATGAATATAGAAAATGTTAATAACCACCAAAATCATAACCGCTAGCAGCAGCATCGTCATCATATTCATTGCTAATATTCACCTTCATTATAACTTTATCTTAGAGATGTTGTTCATGTTCATGAGCTCATGTTCATATCATTTATAATTTGACATTGCTTAAAACTGAATGTTGAGCAGAAATTTGCTTCACTTTACCTTCTCTCTCTTTTCACTTTCCGTTCTGTTTCTTTTCTCTTCTCTGCCAACTCATGCCAAATTTTCTTTCTCTATTTCTTCATTCATTTACCTGTCCGATACCCCAACACTTACTTGTTGTCTCCTTTCAGTAAATCAGTATACACACACACACACATATATATATATATAGATATATATATATATAGATATATATATATATATTCACTAGGTGGATATTCTTTACATTGATCTGTACGTGAAATTATTAAAATTTATCAAATTGCTCTAATACAAGAAACTACATTTTTATCCAATCCCTTTTCTTCACATTGTTTGTTTCTTTGTAAATCAGGACAACAAAACCACTCATCCCATTTGGCCAAAGAAGGAGTTAAATTCATTAAATACGAAGAGACTCTTAAACCTACGTTGAAATCAAGGAAGCCTTTCGAGGAGAGTTGTTAATCCACATTAATTTCCCCTCAAAAAGTAAAAGAAGACGAAAAAAAGAAAAATGAAATGAAAAGAAAAAGAAACAAAACGAAAAGAAGAAATGAAGAGAAAAAAGAAAAGAACAGGCTTTTCTTTTGCATGTTACAGAGAAGATAATAATGTTATGATAAATGAAAATAGTAATGATGACAATAGTAACCATCGATATAGTTTATAAAAATATTATAGTAAAGGTAATAATAATAGCAATAATTACTGTTATCATTGTTGTTATTATCATGATCATATTATGATCATAATATAATATAATAATAATAGTAATAATTACTGTTATCCTCGTTATTATTATTATGATTATAATATGGATAAAAATACCGAAAATGATTACAGTGATATTTTTGTTAAAATTAATGGTTGTTATGAATATAGAAATGTTAATAACCACCAAAATCATAACCGCTAGCAGTATCATCATCATCATATTCATTGCTAATATTCACCTTCATTATAGCTTTATCTTAGGGACGTTGTTCATGATAATTCAGAGCTCATGTTCATATCATTTATAATTTGACATTGCTTAAAGCTGAATGTTGAGCAGAAATTTGCTTCACTTTACCTTCTCTCTGTTTTCACTTTCCGTTCTGTTTCTTTTCTCTTCTCTGCCAACTCAAGCTAAATTTTCTTTCTCTATTCTTCATTTATTTACCTGTCCGATACCCCAACACTTACTTGTTGTCTCCTTTCAGTAAATCAGTATATACACACACACACACAGATATATACATATATATATATATATATATATATATATATATATATATATATATATATGTGTGTGTGTGTGTGTGTGTGTGTGTGTGTGTGTGTTAGTGTGTGTGTGTGTGTATACTTATGTATATACATAATATATGTATACATATATATATTTACACACATATGTTATATATATATATATATATATATATAAAACTTGTATGTTATATATACAGATATCCAAATTATACATATATATATGTATACATACATATATATATATATATATATATATATATATATATATATATATATATATATATATATTCGTATATGCAGTTGACCTCAAATTTCCAGCAATTATTCTATGAAATGTGGCCTTTGAAAAAAAAAAGCCATGTCAATAATAACTGCTCTTACAGCTTTCCCTCAGGCTCCGGTACTTGTAGGAATGTCCTTCTCTCTCTCTCAGATTCCCTCGGGATATCTTTGGTAGAATTCATAGTTCTTGAACATCGTTGCAACATTTATTCACATGTTCAACAAAAGTTTATAACAAGAAATATAACAACAGTGATAGCCATGCTCCTATTTAGTTGGGGTTCCATACGATTGTGAGGGAGAACCCTGGCTCGATCCCTGGCCGGACTGGCCGTATCCCCGATTCCCTCCTGAAGGATACTGCGCCTCTCCCTCGAAGGTGACGGTGGGATGGTAACCGGTGGCGTCCACGTAATACTCGACCAGAAGACGGCGACCATCGGGCAGCTGGACGTAGTAACTGTAAAAGACAGTGAAAGACAATATTCACGATAGTTTCTATCTTACCAGACAAAATATGCAACACAAACATTTATACTTGTATTGATGTTCGCTTTAAGCATCAGTGGCAACACTATTGATGCATAATGAAAAGTGAATCATGGTAATATCTTCCTTGCTCTCTAGCATGACATAATGATGAGAACGACATGTCGGGCAACAAGAACAACTGATGATAATGCATTGCATTACCTCCCCTGAGTGTTGGCGTCTTCCCTCTGCTCTTTGTGGCCGTAGAAGTTCCCTGAAGGTTCATGGTTCACATCCCACTGGAAGGAATACTGGGCGGGCACGGAGGGGTACTGTGCCTGTCCTCCTCCGGTAGGGAACTGAGATCCCTGACCTCCTGGTGCCTGGTAGTTGTAGCCTTCCTGAGGAATCGCCGAAGCCACAGCCACCAACAGGGCAAACACAGCGAACACCTGTTGTGATATTCAGTAGGTAAAATATGATCAAGAAAACGACTGATTGTGTTAACAGCTTCAAGCTTTGACTTTGTTCCTAACCTTCAT